GACTCAACTGAAAGTTACTTAAGGCCAATGGGGACCCTGTGCAGCTATATACCCAGTGTCCCAAGCACTGTGTCTGGCACATTAATAAACACGTTTCATAGGCGAGTGACAGAACCTTGTAATTACCTTGGTGTCTGCTAGAGAAATGAGCTGCCTCTGAAGGTAGGGAGTGCCCTGCACAGCAGCTGGCTGACCACTGTCAGGATCAGAAGTCATATAGAAACAATTCTGTCTTCAGCTGAAGTTTGGATATAGATAACCTCTAAGGTTCTTTTCAACTATAAGGCTCTATGAGTCTTTCAGAGGCTGAAGGCAAAACCATATTAAGATAATAAGTCTGTCCACTTCCACTGGGGTCGTAGAAGTGGTTGCCAAATAAAGGCCTAGATGAAAAGACTTTTTTTTTTTTTTTTTTTGAGACGGTCTCACTTTGTCACCCAGGCTGGAGTGCAGCAGGCATGATCATTGCTCACTGCATCCTTGAACTCCAGGGCTTGAGCGATCCTCCCTCCTCAGCCTCCCAAGTAGTAGCTGAGACTACAGGTGCACACCACTGTATCTGGCTAATTTTTAAATTTTGTAGAACAAAGTCTTGTCATGTTCCCCAGGCTGGTCTTGGACTCTTGGTTTCAAGTGATCCTCCCTCCTAGACCTCCCAAAGTGTTGGGATTACAGGCATGAGCCACTGCACCTCACCCCCAAAAACATTTGGAAGGACAAGTTAACAGGACTTATTGCCAAAATAGATATGAAGTATGTTGTTATGGTTATGTATATTATTGCATGTTGTGTGTGGTCACAGGATTTTTGATCCACTGTAACTGGAAGAAATGCCTAACGGGCAATTAACAACATAGGATAGTGCTCAAGAGAGATAAGGGGTAATATGTCACACTGAGATATGAGGGAAAGAGCACTGGAGTTGGAGTTAGGAGACCTGATTTCTAGACCTAACTTTGTCTTTAATTAACAGTGTCATCTTGGAAAAATCCCTTCATTTGCCTAAGTCTATTCCCTCATATACTAAAGATATATACACACAATGATAGCTATAAGGAAGAATGTGCCCATCCCCTTCTTAAGATCCTACTCATCTAGTTAAAAAAACAGATATCTAGTATTAAAACTTGGCTTCTGTGGTGAAACTCCATCCCTACTAAAATACAAAAAATTAGTCGGGCATGGTGGCGGGCGCCTGTAGTCCCAGCTACTTGGGAGGCTGAGGGAGGGGAATCACTTGAACCCAGGAGGCAGAGGTTGCAGTGAGCCAAGATGGTACCACTGCACTCCAGCCTGGCAACAGAGCGAGAGTCCGTCTCAAAAATGAAATAAAATAAAATAAAATAAGAAACTTTGCTTCCCTCTGTTGTCCCATATTATGTTCGTTTTTCCATTATAGGACTTACCACATTTTACATTGTATGCATGTCTGTCTGCTCCAACAGAAGTGGCTTTTTTGAAGGAAGGAATTCTACCTTGTTCAACTTTATATTCCCCCACAGTGCCTTGCAGAAAGTAGGAGCCCAGTAAATGTGTATTGAATTGCTCAGAATTGTGTGGTGAGGTAGAAAGTATTGCTTAATCTCTCCAAGACCTCAATTTCCTTATTTGTAAATTAAGCTGCTGGTTAATTTCTAAAGTTCTTTTGAGTTACAGAATTCTGGTACCCGACAAGGTTTCACAGATTGAGAAGATTGAATTATTTGATTTCTAAATTCCCTTTCAACTTCAATATTAAATGATTTTATAATACTGAGTTTCAAGTGATCTACATGGAAGTTGAACAAGTTATCAGAGGAAAAACATGTGCAAAAAGACTGAGAACAGAAGTAACATCTAGCTATCCAATACGAGAGAGAGAGAAGCTGAAAATAACATGGAAGAGTCAGTCTGAAAAGCAGGGGAGATAATAATAGAAGGAGTGACAGAATCAGATGCCTAGAGGGCTACCATGCAAATGAGTGAAGTGGTCCAGTGGTAAGCATTAGGGAGTTGTGGAGACTGGAGAGGCCACGGCCCATCTAAAGTCAGCTGTGTCATGTTATCGATGTGAGTGTTGCCACATCTTCCGGGTTTTTGTTTGTTTGTTATTGTTGTTTTTGTTTTTTGGTTTTTTTGAGACAGACTGGCTGTCACCAGGCTGGAGTACAGTGGCATGATCTCGCCTCACTGCACCCTTCGCCTTCTGGGTTCAAGCGATTCTCCTGCTCAGCCTCC